AAAAAAAAAAATGAGAAATTTAAATTTTAAAAGAAAGAGCAAAATTTATATTTGATTTTTTTAGGGCGGTAAAGGTACATTAATTGGTTATATGCATCGATCTGAAGATAAATCAAGTACTGACTGGAGTTTTAGTATTGAAATTGGTACAGCAACAAGGACAAAATTTATTGCAACAATAGGTGGAATTCCCGCGGGGATAATTTCGGATCGATATGTATGTTTACAGCCAGCTGGTGATGCAAATGCCGAGCAATGCAAATGGTTAAAGTAAGTTAAACATTAGGAAATGAATTTGAATTCTAGTTTGTACTCAAATTAATTTACTGCTTTCTAGTAAGTTTGCTTTTTTTTTGCATATGTTTAACAATTTAACCATTTTAATTTTAAGTTTATGATTTCTATTCTTCAATTATTTAATTCAAATAATATTAGATATGAAGCATCACCATTACGTGAACGACATATGGCACATCGTTGGCAAGCAGGTATTGGTAATTGTCCTGGATGTAATGAACGAGGTATTGAGAATTTCTTGCTTAAACTTGATCCACGACAATGGCTTGATGGTTTAAATTCAACAACTGAAGCGGTTACATGCGCTTTAGAAATAGCGCTTATTATAGTAACCATTTTAGCTACCGTCTTAATATGCACAAAATGTATTATTCCATTAGCTAGATGTACAATTTCATTGAGTAAACCACCAAAAAAGTAAATTTTTTATTTGCCGTAAATTAATTTAACTAATTAATTTCCAATGCTCAGGTGGTTAGAATTATAACTTCATGATAATTTTTTATCTTTTTGCTAGTTATTTTACGATAATCTTTAACCTTTTGAGTTATCTCGCGATAATCTTTGACATTTTATTGAAAAATAATTTGAGAAAATTATTTCTTATTACTGACCTTTTATTAGAATGTGCCTTATTGACTGACTATATCATTTGCTCTATGTTAATTAATTAATGTTATTCATATGCATATTGTTATCAGTACAATACATTTCACTTAATTATTTTAAAGTTGTATGAAAAGTGCATATTATACGTCACACCTCAGTTTATTTATTTGCTCAAATGGCATTTGACCATCAATCATAGTAATTTTAATCGAAATTGAAACAAAAAAAAATTTAATAATTCCGAAAGTCAAATTTTTTTTGACAAAATTAATGGTCACAAGTCATAATTTGCATTAAGTAGTGATAATTCTGATGATATTATCATATTTTAATTATCATTTTAAAGAAAAAAAAAATTTTGAGACCTACTGGATTTTATCGACAATAGTGATATTGCATAAATTTGATAGCATTCTACTATTATGGTATAGTGTATTTTAGTTTATTGTTTATTATACTTTAATTAGTATCAGACAGCAATTAGAAGTTTTCACAAAAAATTTTTCCATCAATGTTGCAAAAACTTTTATAAAAATTTCCAATTATCTAAAATCTTTAAAATTCCTGTGAAAATTTGAAAAAATTCATAACATTTACGAAGCATCCTATCAAAAATTTTTTTCACCACGAAGTTTTATTTTCTTTAATAAGCAAATTTTTGTCTTTTTTTTGAAATTTCAGAATTGTGAATTATCTGCTGATTTTATCATGAATTTAATTTATGGAAATTTTTCTGTCTACGCAATAATTAACCACAAACACAATGCTATCTTCAACTTCTCCACGTAATAGATATATTTCTTAGATAACAAATAAAACGATAAACAAAATGTTGCTAATAAATTACTGATGAAAACGGACATTAGAAATATAAGCTATGAAATAAAATTGTGGTTTAAATTGAAACATAAATTATACTGTGAAACTGAGAGAAAAATAGATTTTTGAGAATTTTAATCAAATTTAATTGGAATTGATTTATTATTTCTTTTCATTCTTACATACTAACATTTTTTATTTTTTGCCACACATTAACATCCTTTTATCTCATATCCATAATTATAATAAAGAATATGGAAAAGAAAGTAATTAACAGTTTCCAATTGTTTCCATATCGATATCATTGCTGGTAAAATGTTAAAATGCATGTCATTGCAGTATATATATACTAAAATGCATGTTACTGTAGGATATCGTTGAAAGCAGATTGGAGTATCCATGTAATTGTTAAAGTGAAACTTTTTATATTTAGTGTATTCATTGTTACTATTGCAGTTTTTATAATAATATTCCAACGTTTCTTACCAGTTCCAGTTCTAGCATTTTTGTCTTTCAAATTTAATTTTTCCTGGTACCGAAGAATTTATGGTTCCTTTCCGTATTGCATTCCCTTTTCCAACTGAGTCTTCCTGAAAAATGAAAGTAACAAGTATCATAAGTTGTTAAGTTTTTCATCGAATAAACTGTCCAATTTCATCCTAATTCATTTTTTTTCTTTTTAAATTTGTAAAGATTATTTAATACCAAATATTTTTCAACATATGATGGTGCATCAGCAAAATATGAACTATCCAAAATGGGCGCTTGATGACAATAATATCGTTTACGCTTATATTTTGCTATTGTTAATAAAGCCAAAATGCAACGTATAATGCAAATTCCAATAATTTCCAAAAGTATACAAGTAAATGGTATTTGTATTAGCTAAAAAAAGAGAAAAAAAAAATGCGACGGATGTTTTTAAAATAAATTTAAGAATTTAGAAAATGCAATCTTACAAAGTAAAATAAAATTTTTTAGCCCACACAAAAACAAATACACTAAATATTTTTGAAATGAATTGAAAAATTTAGAAAATGCATTTTCATAGATTAGACTGAAATCACTTAAAGAAAATCAAAGTTTATTATTTTCAAAATAAACGAATTAAAATTCTATTTTGGAACAAAAAAAAAAGCAAGACTTACCATGAAATGCTCTACATTTTCGAAAGGAAAAAATTAAAAAAGAAATCTACAAAGGAATAAGAGATAAAGTGATAAATTTGATTCATAAAATATATTAAAAATGATTGAATGATAAAATATTGTAAATGATTTTATATTGGATTAGTTAAATGTTTAAAATATTATTGAATATAAATTAATTAATTGAAATAGGATAAAAAATAATACAGCAAACCCATTGTTCGATCACTTGTCCTTCGGCAATATAATGCATTTTTTTTTTCTTTCGAATAAATTTAACAACCGTTCATATGCGATAAAATTGTTTTCATTAAATGAAATTAGCAAAAATATCATAATTTGAGGATAAAAAATAAATGCGAATTATTTGCAATTTTAAAATTTATCAAAATATCACCAATATATTCGTCAAATTCTTTTTACCTTTCGCATTTATGTTTTATCTAAAAATTTGAAAAATATCAAAATATGTAAAAATAAATTCATTCAAAGTTATATTTTTAAAAATATAACTATAAATGTCCATTTCATTCAATCGCAACAAAGATTGAGGAATCGTTCTGTTTCTTTGGTTAATAGTATCTCAAATGTTGAATAATTAAATCTTTATTACGATAAGTTTATTAATACAACAATGAACTCAATAATTATGATTTTTGATAAGATAAATTAATGAGGATATCAATTGGAAAAGGAAACCTATCCGATGCTCTATTCAATCGACCATATTGAAATACACATCTTGAGAAATGTTTCATGATGGGTCAGGACCCTCTCTGCTTCTTTCACGAATATTTTCAAAAAAAAAAAAAACAAATAATTAAAATTTAGATGGTAAATTTAAATGAGGCTAGCAAAAATGGATAGAAAAAAATTCGAAATATATTTGGAATTTGATGTAGCAAGGATTTTATTTTTGAACTAATGGACTTTATTCATATGCATAATTAATTAATCGCAAATCAGTATAGTTAGTTTTACTCATAATATTGTTATCATTAAAAAATATTTCATCCTGACCCAAAACAAACAGATTTGCATATCATCACACAGAAAAGCTAAGTATAACTTCTTAACTAACAGTATGTTTTGTGCTCAACTACAAACTGATAATTATTGTAATAATATTTTAGCAGATATATTTCGCGGGACATTTTCCAGAAATAAAATAGCAAGGCATCGTAAAATCGGATGACGACATATCGATGACAGCAATATATTTGTAGCCATACCGAAGAATGCAGATATCACTACAATCATTTCGGATAATTAATTGTCTAAATATATTCTGTTGCTATATTATTATTATTATTAATTATTATTACTATTATTGTTATTATTACTACTTTAGATTTTTGTTCGCAATTGTCAAATAAATCTGAAAAATGGAAGTATTTTGGAAGGAAAGTTTATGCTTACCAATAATAGCAAAATCAACCAACAGTTTGCTCTTTGAATTTTTTCTAAATACTCT